CAGGGCATGCAAATCAGGAGTTAATCTGGCCTGTATCTATTTTCATAATATTTTGCTTTTATTGCACTGCCATTTCTGGGGAGATGTAAACTGCTTTGCTGCACCTACGAGAGTGCTTTACTAGGCTTGAAATGTTCTTCTTTCCTTGGGAATTGCTAGAGACATGAGTGCCTCAGTTGAGATCCTACTTAAAAGTTCAAAGTACTAGTAATTAAAAGAAACTATTATTTGTACTATTTGACTTTAAACTGAACATGCGTCATCTCAGAGTCCTCGATGTGTATGAGAGAGAAGAAACAGAGCTCTGCAACACTGCATTTTCAGTCACTGTCCACATGAACTGCTTTGTTTCCTAAGCTGCAAGTCTGCTTTGTGGCTTTTTTTTAAAAAAAGGTATTTATTTATTTATTTATTTATTGTTTTTAAGGACTGTGTGCTTTGATCCTGTTCCGCTGCTTGTAGAAGGTGTACAGGTTAATAAGGGCTATAATTGCTTTTTGTTTAGAAAACAGAGTAGTTTATCTGCTCTTGGTTAGTGCTCTGAAGTGTTTTTTAGCACTTCACCCCTGCATGCTCTTGGGGATGAAGTATGTCATTCCTGTAGGAGAAAGAATTTATGTGGCAAAATGAAAACCACTGCAGTGTAGGTAAAGGCGTGTACTCTAGCTTCATTTTCTAAAATGAAGTTTATTTCCTTACAGTCTGCAAAAATTAGAATTTGCCTGTTTTTTATAAGTGAGGAATTGTTACAATCTTTAATATACCTTCATACTTCTGAAATTTCTCATTAACATACACTAGGAAAAAGAGATAAATGTCTTCAGAAGTGATAGGGGAAAACTATTCCCTTGGGTGGAAGGAAACTATGGCATGTTTTCAGAACAGTGGGGATAAAAGTCTTTGTTCAGCAGCTTTGGCAAATGGAATGAAGAAAAACTTATTTTTCCCACAGATATAAGGAGCAGAAGGAGTAAGAGAAAAAGAAGGCAAGCAATAGATCAGCAACTTGAGGGGGAGTAAATTATGAGTATTTAGTTTATTTCAGTACCTAAAATAGCTCTGATGGCTTAGGATGTCTAGAGACACATGTATTAATAGAGCTAAGAAAGAAGTGGAGAAAACAGTTTGATCAAAAACAAAGCAGGGTAGGGGTATATTTATTTCACAATTACTTGTAATTTTCTTGCTGTGCTCTTATTAGCAGAGAGAAATGGTAATAGTTTCATTTGAGTCACTACTGTTGCGATGGAAGACAATCAGAAATCCGTCTTACTAAAAACCATCTGATTATGTGATAGGTAATGCAGTTAATTCACTTTTTCAATTACTGTCCCACAAGGACACATTCATGAGGAAAATATCACTATGCTAAGGTTCTTCCACGAAGACTGATGTGATGTAACTGACAAAATTTCATTAAAGGTCTGAATTTACTCCCCTCTGAAATGAGCAGTAAAACTCCTATTCACTTCAAAAGCAGCAGGTACCTTGTATGTATGACTATCAAGAGCACTCAATTGAAAATATCAGAAGACAGCTCAGAAGCAACCCAGACTGAAGCTCTGTATCTATAAATGTGCTCAAGACAGCCCTACAGACTTCCCCCCTGCTGATCAACTCAACGCAACAAAAATTTGCCAAGCAAATCATTAAAAATTGTACATATTTCTCTCTGCTTTGCTGAAAATGCATTCCAAGTATTTCCAAAGGTAGTGGTTTCCTATTCTACTACACATGCAGGCAGAAAGAATACAAAGTATTTGATGAGGGAAGGAAGGTAATATTTTTAAGGAAAAATTACCAAACCACTTTTGTACTGGGACATTTTACACTTACTTTCTGTTGGATAAAGCTTTGCAAATGAAATATAAGCCTCCCAGAAAAAGTGACACACATTTGGAGAAGATTGCCAAGTAATCATCCAGTGATGGACTATTCACACAGAAAATCAAGTTATACACTGAGAAACAGTCAAATTAACAGTCAAAAAATAAGGATACTTGAAGTGAAAGGAATTTTGAAAATAAAAAATGAGAATAATAAACATGACAATATTAAAAACAAAATAGGTAGGAGATGCCCAGTAAGTATAAACAGGCAAATGATAGGCCTTTCTTTTAAAATAAACATGAAGATGGATTTAGGGAGCCAAAAACTGATGTTGTTTTTTAATACTTGGGAAGACTAGATGAAATTGTCAAGAAAATAACTTTCTGGACACTCAAAGGACAAGACCATGTCTTGTAACAATCAGTGTTTGGACTTAATCCTTGTAAAATCATGCTTGACCAATGTGGCATCTATATAAAATGATATGACTGAGTTAGTCACTGAGGTCTGTGGTTTCCTGCGCTGGCCAAACAGAGGACAAGTGGACTGGATGGGTGGACTGTAAGAAGAGGTGGAGAACAGGCTGGACCTTAAAGTTTGCAGTGTTTACAGTTTCAGGTTTAACACTTAGTAGTGCCAGGGGTTGATGCCTTCTAGAGTCGTTGATGTCTAGTATTTTCACCAAGGACCTGGATAACAGGACTAAGGGTAACTTAGCCAGTTTCTAGATGTCACCAAGAGGAGCTCTTGACAAGGAGACTGGCTATCAGGAGTGCCATGAGATTCTAGAAGGACAAATGCAATGTTCTGCACCTGGGGCTGAGCCCCTGCTCATTAGGTAGCAGCTCTGCAGGATAGGATTCCTCCATACTGCAGACAGCAAGTGCACATATGTCAGCTGTGTATTGCTACATCAGTGAACAATGAATATATACTGAGATGCATTAGTAATAAAATTGCAAGAAAGATGAAGGAAGTAATTATTACACACTGATTATCACTGGTGTGGTTTGATTGGAGACCAACAGAGGCCCCTTCTAACCTAATTTTTCTATAATTCTGTGAAATTATTTCATAATTCTTATATGCAGTAATGTTAGTTAGGTTTTGTTCTGAATGTATTAAAGGTCCATAATAAGGGATAAATTAGAGTAATAACTATACATAAGCTCTATGAGAGCCTATTAATGTAGACCAAATTCTTGAAAGTTTGTAGAACATACAAGACTAGGCCCTTGATTATTGGCACAGAGGAAATATACACAGGCAATGCAAAGGCAAAGCATTTTATTTTTCACTTACTTATATAAGCATTATTATTTGAGGTAAAGGTTTTTAAAAACTTCTTTTAAGTTTTAGTTCAAATAGTTCTAATTTTGACCTCTGTACTAAACCTTAATACATGTTTATCTAGCTGCATCAGAACTAAACTCTTCCCCTCTTTGCCTCCCACGTTGATGTGTAGGATTAAGTAGAAGTGCTAATTCTAGGTTACTGAGTATGGCTTTGATGATTACAGTTAAAACTAGCGAGCAAGGTTTGGAGATGAGTTTCTTGTTTTTTTCCTGATAGCACATCCTCACCAATGAAATTCAAGTGAATATGAGGGCAATCAACAAAATCCAGCTCTTAGACTGTGAATATGCTGAGCTGTGAAATATATGCTCTGGTTTCAACCTCACTCAGCTTTAGATTTCAATGAAACGAGAGGCTAGCTTGAATTCAGAAGTCTGATTAACGTAAAAAGTTAAATCCTGCTGACATACTTGATAGCTACAACTTGACTTGGGATTTTAATCAGCCAACTTTTTGAGAAAATAATTTTTCATAAGTGTTTTCTAACACAAGATTCCTCTTTACATGGAAGCTAGACTGGCATGATTATGAACCATACTGCCTCTTCCAGGAAGAATACAGTTTCTCCTTCATCAGAGTGGTTTATCTAAACAGATGATCTAAATCGTTTTTATTTTTCTCTTAAATTGATGGAGTGTTTAAGTTTATTGCCATAAATTGATATGGATCTGATTCTTCACTATTTCTTTATGGAAAAGTTTAATTAAGGGCAAGTAGCAATAGCAAAAATCTGACTTTATTTTGAATTGTTAAAAAGAATTGTGATATTTCAATTTGTTGGTCTGAGGAAGTATAACAGACCTCATTTTATACCTCTGATTGGACTATTGAAACAGTCTGAACTCCAGTTCTAATAGTCTGAATCTCTATTGAAATAACTGAACTCATATAGCACCGTTGACAGACATTTCTCATAATTAGCAATAGCCGACTATTTTAAAATAATTTCATTTGAAATATATTTTCATATTTACTCCAAGTCCATGCTTTAGACATAAACCAGCCTGATCTTTATTGAGACGAGGTGGAGGTTGACCTCTTCTCTCACTTAACTAGACGAGAGGGAATGGCCTCAAGTTGTACCAGGAGAGGTTCAGGTTGGATATTAGGAAAAATTCCTTCTCCAGAAGAGTGGTGATGCATTGGAACAGCCTGCCCAGGGAGGTGGTAGTTACTGTCCCTGGAAGTGTTCAAGAAACATTTAATAGATGTTGTACTAAGAGACATGGTCTAGTGAAGAAATATTGGTGACAGGTGGATCGTTGAACTAGATGATCTTGGAGGTCTTTTCCATCCTTGATAGTTCTATGATTCTAAGATTCTATTAAAAATACCCAGGCTCCAGCTTCTGGTAATGGTTTGGGTAATCTGAATATTTGTAGTAAAAAATATGTAAGTTCATCACTTTCTATCTGGTGGCTGTACACTTAGAATTCAGTAACACAAATAAGAAAAAAGTTTGGGCTGGATTATACAAAGATTTCTGCTGACAATTGCAAGTAATGAAGTCATCTTGAGCCTCACTGAGAAAACTGTATGTCAGCCTCTCCCATGTGCTAACCTATTTAAAATAAATTTACATTTAAAGTCTGATACGAAATGCATTGAAATTAATGGAAAGATTTTAATACTCTTTGACTCAAACGCATGTACAAGATCACATATTTCCTATGATTCTATTTCTGTAACAGCTTGACAGGATTTACTATTTCTATACATTTTCATCAAGGCTTCCTCCGATCTCTTTTGTTATTACTATTTCCTCTCATGAACATATCATACATCTTCTCACTTCAACATCTCTAGGGGCCTACCTGATCTTCCTATCAGACAGCAGCTTAATTCTCTTCTAAGATGTGAGTTGTGTGTGACTCCCCAAACCCATCAGTCTGGCTTCTGAATGCAACTGTAATTAAAAACAAAACAACAAATAAATCATGAGTTCTCTTCTTTGCAAATAGTCCAAGCCAGAACTTCTTCCTATTTCAGTCTTCTTTATTTTTTAAATCTTTCACTTTCCACAATGTTTTTATTTGAATTCTGGTTGGAGACACATTTCTTTCATATCTGCTATTGTTACCTCTTATTTCATGATGAGAACAAAACTATTTCATGCAGCACATACTGCAGGAATTCCAAGTGACAATAATAGACAATAATAGATGCTTTTAGCTTATACGTAGTGGGCACTATATAGAAGAAGTTTAGAATATATTTCTAATTATTTTCTAAATGTACACAGGGCAAAGACATCGGTAGTGTTAAGTTAGTGTATTAACTATGTTGTAGTTTGTAGTGTATTAACTGTGTTTGTAGTTTGGGAAACGTATTTCTGAATTCTGTGATGAGGTAAGAGAGGGAATTTGATGAAAACCATAAATTTGCTATTTGCAAGTGATACAGAGATAGGAAATAGCAATTAGTAGCATCCAAATGTTGTAAATAGCTCTACAATTTCACTGGGTAATGAATTTTCTGAATATGGGAGGGCTTATCATCCAGTTTAATTGTTTCTGTTTTGCTTTCACTTTTAAAATATCTTTATTCCTTGTTTCTTAATATTTTGTCTGTCCCACTTCTTCCAAATTTTGGCCACCTTAAATTTGCATGTAACTTTGCAAACTCTGACTAGAGATGCAGAGCTCAGTCAGATCGGTGCTGGAATGCTGTAGAAATTTGTGGTCACCTCTTAAAAATGCAAATCTAGTTGATGAGAAAAGAGTAATGGTAATGAATAAGCATTCGGACACTAGTTACAAGAGATCTGATTTCTCACACCTAGTAACTCTCACAAGTGCTGAAGTCAAAATTATCAACAACTACCATGAAACCATACTGTAAATATACTACATATATTGTGACAATTGTGGTCACTGTCACTAGAATGTCACTGGAATTTTTTTTTTTAACAAAAGAATCTTCTGCATGCATCTTTCTATTTCAGATTTTATTAGTAACTTTTCAGTATATTTCTGGAAAGTAGATTAGCATTACTTTATTTTTAATCCTGAAAGACTTCTAACATACTATGTGCTTTAATGTAATTATGCTTAATAGATGGAATACAGCAGCTTTGTGAAGGTTGTTCATATCCCTGCTGGATATTTTGCAGAGATAAACGTGTGTCTAATTTATTTAACATGATTAACTACCTGAAGTATTAGAACTCTTATACAGCAATACTTGACAGCCAAGTATTGCAAGATTACTGGAGAGATGCTGCATTTTATGAGATAACCCTGGATTGACATGCACACCATACTGGTAGTGCTAATGGGCTGCAACAAAATAGTCTCCTTTCATTTTTTCCCCTATAAAAATGATGGAGATCTGGTAAATCTTAGATCCCATTCAGTAAAGAATTTAATGAGGCATTTTATTTATCTCCCATCTAAAAGGGATGAAGCACAAACCAATATGCTTTCTTCCATTTGCACCAAAGAAAGCAAGCAGCATGCTAAGTAAAATACAGCACTACATATGTATTGCTTCCACCAAAGCTGGCACCGTTTCCTTTACTTCCCAACAGCTCAACCTTCCATTTCCATATTGACGGAGAGGCCACGATACAGAGCCCACTGCAACTGATGTTTTGATGTTTGTAAGCAGCCAATGGTTTGAATTACCAAAAAAGGTTTCCTTCCACTCTTGCATAACTGTGTTTTTTCTGCTGTTGATTATCTAAGGCCAGCTCTGAGATCAGAAATTGCTGAGCTGCTTAATGCTGCAGTTGGAGAGTGTCAGAAACAATGGGAAAAACAAAAACAAAAAAATAACCAAAAGCACCAACATCAAGCATGACTTCTATGTAATCTTAAGAATTTTATAAGTCAGCCAGGAAATAAAAGTGTTGTAGGATGAAATTAAGTTTAGTGAGTACAGTTCTGTCTGGAAGCACTGAAGACAGGGTTTCATCTTCCACACTTTCTGCAAAAAGAGATTGCCACATTGATCTAATAATTTGAGATGCAGCCCACAAAATTTGAGGTAACAAAATGTAACCTCTCTAGAGATGTTTAGAGATCTTTGCCAGATTGAAGTTTCTCTTTAGAGTTGCCCAGATTTTTCACTGGCTGTAGGGAACCCAGGAAAGCTGTACTTCCAAAGTAGACATTGCTGAAGCTTTTTCTGTGAAAGTCTAGTCCCATAGAAATCAATGGGGAATTATATCTTCAAGTCCAGATAGTTACTGAGTTGGAAAAAGAAGGTTCTTTATTACAATCACTTAGCAAAAATGCTACTTTTCAAGAATGAGAAATTGATCTGACAAGCTGACAGATACTGAAGACTGTGTCAACAGGAGAAGAAGAGAAGAAAAACTGGTAAGGTGGGAAATATCATTATTTTCTCATTCTTCAAATTAATACTTTGAGGAATAATACAACAATTGCTCATTGTTCTAATGAATCCCTGCTCTTGATTATGATAAATAATATATGATCTTTTCTCCTTTGCTTAAATTGACAAAGTTGTCTGTACTGATGAGTTACAGTAAGATTTTTTTTAAATGGAAAGCAGAGGATTTCCTGCAATGCTGCAAAGAGTTCTGAGCTAGTGAGCCTAAAGCAGGGATGCTTATGATAAAACATTGCAGACAGAACACAGTTGATTCGAGCATTGAATTAACTATGCTCTTGTGTGCATTCTCTCTCATCATCTTGTTCTTTCTTTCAGCCTCCTCTTCACCCTTTCAATCGTCACTATTGTTTTCGTGTCCTGATTTTTTCTTTCCTCAGCACAAATGCCAGAATTCTACTTTCTTCAGAAAACAAGACCCAACATTCTGCTCCATTGAGTCTCAATGTCTTCTGTGACTGGTGGCTTTCTCAGATCAGGCTTCAACAGTCTATGTAGATTAAGTGGATAGAGAATAATACAGCATAGCTGTATAAGCCTACGATCTTTACTGTTTATCTGACTACACTGTGACTGCTGCGACAGCAGCAATCAGACCTAGGACTTCTCCTTCAAAAGGCGCATTTGAATTTCAGGATTCAACACAGTTAGGTCAAAGGATATGAAGGGAAATTAAATTCAAGATTAAGGCTGTGTCTATTGTAAGACCTAGAAGCAAGCTTGTGCTAAAATTCCTTTCCCCAACAATACTGTCCCCAGCCACTGCCTTTAGCCATGGGGCACACAAGGACACTGTCTTGCAGCCAAATGGCAAAGATCACTTCTACATTTGCAGCAGCTGCCTGAAGTCTCTGTGTTAGGAAGAATCAGATACTTCCTCTGGTTGGAAGACATTTCTGAAGACTCAGATCTCCACATATATTTTGAAGTCTGAATCTCAGGTCCCACCGTATGAACCATAAATAACGTACATGAAAGGGTAGGTCACTGGCAGTAAGGTTTAAGAGCAGGATCCCTGGCTTACATGTGTGAATGAGCCTTCTTCATTTGCACAAACCTGTTAAGTGCTATTAACACAAATATACAGCTTTATATATTTTTTTTAACTCTGTGGAATTGCAATTTATATCTGTGAATTGCAAGCTACACGTGAAAGTGTTCAAGATCTCTGACTGCAGGGGGCTTGTTCTATTCTTGGATATAGTATATTATTTTCCCACCAAATGAGACATGAAAGTAAGTGTTTCTTAGAAGTAAATAGCATTCAAACTGAAGAATCTTCTGTATCAAAAATAAACACTTACAGCTGAATACTTGCACTCACTTTGAGGTATGCTTGTGACTGATAGAAAGAGCCCTTTATTTTCTAATATTAAGTTGATACATACTGTTGTAATAAAAAAAAATAAAGTCTTTTCTGAGAGAATTTCTAATCCGAGCTATATCAACAGTATGATTCCTCTACTGGGAATATAATGCTACACCGCATACCCAGGTATCATTAATGACTGACTTGAAGCTATAATTGACAAATAGAATCAGGGAATCAATGCTTTTATGGTTTTTTTTTTCACCTTTTAGTTCTTTTTTAAAAAAGCATTATTATTTTCATTTTTATTTTAATTTATGACTCTATTGACTTATACTCAGAGAAAAGGTACAATGTGTTTATTCTAGAGACTCTTCTGCAACCTCTGTCATTGTCTGGGGTTTCTGCAGTAAAAACTGCTTACACTTATTGTTTTCATGCAGATCTTCACCGGTTTTACTGATTATTGTGTGACCCTGAAAGCCCATTCACACAAATTGCTGGTAGAAATTGCACATCATTTAGTAGCTTTAAAATTTACTTTTTTGTTGTCCTGTATCTGAAAGCAGGATGTTCTGCTAGCTGTATGTGTAAGCTTGTGGATAGCTTGTGCATGTCACTATCTAGCTAAAATCCATTTCAATATGCGTTTAAAATGTAAACAACTTATATTTACTTAGTCGTGAAATCCTCTTGGTGCTGCATGATATCCTACTAAACAGTGATGACTAAAATGAGGATGGCACTTTGAGCCTTGTTATGAATATGATTTATATCTGCAGTACAGAACCTTTGCAGTTGCCGTAATATTGTGAGTAATTACTAAAAATTTCCAGTCTCTGTGTTTTTTCTTCCTCCAGCTCCTCATATGGACAGAACTGCTCCCATCTACCTCCTGCTGTACACCGAACTAGATCAGAATATCCTTTTGACACACACTCCACAATGCTGCCATAAGGCTCCATCAGAAGACTTCCAGCTTCTATGACAGTCAGCATCCTTGCATATGATTAAAGACTGCATCAGTATTTGAAAAAGTGGAATTAGCAATCTCCTATTTCAGCTGTTTGTAACACGTGTAATGTATGTGTATTTCAAGTATTAATATAATTCTAGTGATGTATCAGATGCACAGTTTAAAAAAACCCCAGGTCTCTCCCAGGAGATCTCTGTCAAGAAGGAATGAGATTAGAACACTTTCATTGAATGTATGGGCCAGTAAATTTAGCTTTCATTGTATTAGATGGGCCAGTCTCTACATAATCCATATTTAAATATTGATGCATAACATACTAAAAATATTGTTTTTAGCATCAAAACCTTCCACCACTAAAAACACTGCATTCACATAAATGTAACAAGCACATCATCTGAAGCCATCTCTCAATTTACCAACTAAAAAGCAACATTCAGTAGTAAGCAGATCATGAAAATATTAAAAAGTTCTCATGCTTTTATTAACAGTGAAAGTAAATAATATATATATATGACTGCGATATGGGTGCTCTACAAAGTCTAAACCACTATTATGCAAGGAATAGTTTAATTTGTTTGAGTTATATGAATCTTTTACTTCTTAACTTTATAGACCCACATAAATACATTCCCGAATAAAATTCTATTTGTGTATGTGCAAACAACATAAGGATATAATGACAAACTCAGTAAATTTACAGTAATATTGCCCAGAGTTCTTGGTATTCTAAAAGTGAAAGGAAGCACAACATAGAATTCACACCTATAAAATATTTGAATAAATACATTGTGATGGATATTTTATGAAAATATAAATGAAATTCTATTTCTCTTGCATAGCTTGAGACAACTTGCTTTTTTTTTTCCAAATGCCATGTTTCAATAAAATGAATGTAAAAATGCGTGGAAAGAAACAGTACCTGCAGTGAAAATCTCATATTGAATTCAGTGTAAAAGCACTGGCAAAAATTCTACAAAGAATTCTGTAATTTACTGAACTGACTGAGGTTGTGTTTCTGGTATTTTCTGATGATTTTCCAATATATTTTTTTTCTTCTGTTGCTTACAAGGTAAAATCATTTTGTAATTATCTGTTAAAACTATTCTGACACTGCAGGAGTATTGCCTTACATAACAAAATCAATAGCTTCAAGTATAATAAATGATGTAGTAACTGCTCTGGAGAGTTGTAATCTATTACTTGTTTCTATTTTCTCACAGCAAAGAAATGAGTTCCCAAGTCCATACTAACAATTCAGTCCTTATTTTCATATTCCCTGTGAGACTGGACTGAAAATGTTAGGCCTGTTTTTAAGAAATTCAGATCTCTAATTTTATAAAGGTTTAACTCATTACTTCACCTAACTTGTCCCACCGTGTAGTTTGGATGAAATGTGGATCTACCATTAAAAAGATTTTAGCTCAACTCATGATTCTTAGATATAAATTTACACGAGTATGGAGTCCAAATAACTCCTGTTGATGGGTAGGATTCACCCATGTGACTGTTTCAGTATTTATTTGTAATGGGAAATTTATAGCAATGAAGGAATCCAGCAGCTGATATGGATTGAAAACCTGATTATATTTAAAGCATAACCTCAGCGGTCTGGGGATTTAGTTTCAGACTCAATAATTCTTCATGTATCTATAGTTTACTGCCCATCAGGACCAAGGCAGGATTTAATAAATCTTATTTGTTTAATGAAAAAAAAGAACATCCTGACACTGTGAGCAGCGCAGAAGCGACTAATCCATCTCCGTCTTCCCCGGTAAATATTATTCATTATGCTGTTTGCTTTTCTAGAATATTTTTCCTAGTCTGAAGCAATAATTGCATATGCAACTACTAGTACCAGATACGTATAGCAAAATGAAAACAGCAATTTACAACTTATCAGTGTAATAAATATATCTTGTTTCTTTGTAAATTATTACAAACCCAAATCATTTTTTCTCCACTTGGTGTATTTCTTTAAACTGCCTACCAAGTGTATGAGAACAGTTCTTGATCAGTAAGTGATTTTCTACTTCATTGATCACGTCTGTCTGGCCAGCACAAAATCCACCTTTGAATTTGTGTGTCTCAGCAGTGGAATATCCTGGAATATCTTGCTAAGTTAAGAGTTCAGTTTCCTTAAGTGCCATTTCTCAACAGGTTTCCATAAGGAAAACAAGTTGAGAGCACATTTCACTATTTCTGCAGGGCTCATTTATAGATACGTGTACGTGAACAGTCCTGCTGGTGAACGAGTTAGCCATATCAAGTTATTGAGAACCACTACTCATAAGAAGCAATCTCGATCAAGTTCGTTTCAAGCATGCCACTTGTTAAGACTTTCAGCTCCTACGTGTGTTTGGCTCAGGAAAGTTCAGTCATAAATGAGACTTGCTATGGCTGCCGACACCCCGTCGGGAGCGACGCTGTGTTCGGGGTGGCTTCGTCTGGCAGAAACAGCTGTCTGTGGCTCGGGGAAACCTGGTGCTACCCAGGCCAGGTACGCGAGGTTCCCACCCGCGACCCTAAGCGCCCAGCTGGGAACCGCGCTCCAGCCGCGCTGGCGCTGTCCATTGTCCTGAAATAGCCACCTCCATAGACCACGGAGCGACCGCTGTCGCTGTCCATGGTGCTGAAACAGCGTCTACTGATCGTGCCTCTGAAGCCGCGTCGGGACGGGCTCGCAACAGCTAGCACGGCTCCCCCGCCGCCGCGAGCTCCCCTGGGGCTGGCGGTGCACAGAGAGGAAGAGGACGAAGTGAAAAGGCATGTCTGCCATTGGGAGCCCGTCCCGAAGTAGCTTTCTCCTCCCGCGAAATATGCCTTCCTATGTTTCATGAGAAAAGACTTCGGGCATGGCGGCTCGGGGCTATCCACAGCCGAACTGAGCCTTGTTGGGAGACCCCTTCCCCACCATGGTTCACTGGCCATTTCCTCGATCCTTTTTATCTCAGAGGAAGAGGAAAGTTTTGTCTGTGATATCTGTGCCCGTACCCCCCCTCCCTACCCTCCCCTCCCCCTTGAGACGGGACCTGGCAGGGCAGGGGATGCGGTGGAGAGAGACGGGGGAAGGGAAAGGGGGGAGTTATTTCCTACTTATTTATTTATTTAGCTCTTTCCTCCCTCAGGTCGCCATGGTGATACCGAGCTCGCTCTCCCTCCCATCAAGAGGAGACGGGTAGCCCCTTCGTGAGCAACCCTCTGTCCCCACTGTTCCGGCTGCTGCTTTTCCACATCAGAGGCTGAATATACCGGGGACACACCACCCCCTCAGCGTTTAAGCTGGTCCCCGCACCCCCCGCCTCCCTCGGCCTGGCCCCGACTGCCCCCAACGCTGCCAGCGAGAACCCAATGCTACTCCAGCTCCCCCCAGCGCAGCCATCCCCAGCTGTCCCTCCAGAGGAGGAGTGAGAGGGGAGCAGCCAAAACAGACCCTCTGCCCGCCTCACTGAAGTCACCCCCGGTTTTGACACTGCCGCTGGGGATGGAGGGGTTGCGCCGGACGGGACGTCCCCGGACTCCCCTTTCGTCCACTCCCGTGGGTACCGCCTGAGCGAGGACCGCGAGGACCCTGGCGCACCCTCGGCCAAGCCCGCGGCGGCAGTACTCAGGCTGGGAGCGCGGGGCTCCTACACGGAAGGCTTCCGCGACGGCAGCTGGAAATGGGGCTCCCGGCGCCGGCCTGCCCCCTGCTGAGTCCCCCCTCGGCTCCCTGCCCGGCGGAGAGAGCCTAACACGGCTCACCTCCCGGTTACATAAGTAACACACCCCGCATCCCCCCGCACCGTCGCGCTGGCTGCCGGGGGGCTTGAAGAAGGGCGTTTTTTTGGGGGGGAGGAAGGCGTCGGCAGGGAGTCGTGGGGTAAAAGCACAGAAGCGCAAACCTCTACCCCGCACCTTCGCGCATCCCTCTCCACCTTACCTGGCGGCGGCAGGCTGCTCTCACTCCATGCCGGCGCCCGGCGGGACGGGGCAAGGCTCTGCTGCCCGGCTCTGCTCCTGCTCCGGCTCCCTGCCTGCGTGTGCTATCGCGGCGGGCTATCACACGGCCCCCAGGCTGCCGTCGGGCGCCTCCATTCCCCGTGCCTTTCGCCCACCTCTCGCGCAGCTCAGGGGCACCCGCCGGCCAAGGGCTCCGCTCGGGGTAGCTTCGCAGAGGGAGCGAGGGGCGACCGGACGGTCGCGGCGGCGCCGCGCGTGTCTGCTTGCGCGTGGCAACGAGGGAGGCGGCGCGGTGTGGTGAGGGAGGGAGGGCGGGGGAGGCGCGGCCCGGCGGAGGCAGCCGCGGGCGGGCCTAGGGGCTGCGGCCGGCGCCGGGGGGCTGCGCTAGCCCGGCCCGCGCGGCGGCGGCGCCGGCTCGGTGGGGCCGAGCGTGGATGGCAGCAGCGCCACCTACGGGCGGCGCAGGGCGGAGAGGGCGGTGCGCTTCTTCCGCGTGGATGGCCCGGCCCGCAGCCTGCCCGCCCCCCTGCCACAGAGGGCCCGGAGGGGTGGCTCTGAGGAGGATAAGGCTCGTAGCGGGCGAGTGTCTGGGGGGAAGTGATTCACTCCCCGGAAAGCTGAGTGAAAAGGTGAGGGTAGGAGTGGAGGTGATCTTCCCTTCCCTTCCCTTCCCTTCCCTTCCCTTCCCTTCCCTTCCCTTCCCTTCCCTTCCCTTCCCTTCCCTTCCCTTCCCTTCCCTTCCCTTCCCTTCCCTTCCCTTCCCTTCCCTTCCCTTCCCTTCCCTTCCCTTCCCTTCCCTTCCCTTCCCTTCCCTTCCCTTCCCTTCCCTTCCCTTCCCTTCCCTTCCCTTCCCTTCCCTTCCCTTCCCTTCCCTTCCCTTCCCTTCCCTTCCCTTCCCTTGGCAGTGAAGATCCCCCAGCTTCTCTCCCAGGTTCTGCTGCTGCCATGGAACTGTCCCATCTGTGCTGGTCTGCATCCTTTCAGTGAGGCAACCAACTGCACATCCAACTGACCAGAGGAGACCAGGAGACCTGGATTTGTGTCCCACTGGACTTCTACAGTGTATGAGGGTTGATCTCACATTGCACACTCTATCTCTTTTAGGACACTTGTCAGGGTGTGTCTTTATACACACTCCTCACAGATTAGAATGCAGTGCCTTTGACACTATTTTCCTACTTGGGTTTCACTGAAACTGGCCACCAGATTCCATGCTCCTTGGAAGGACTGGCAGTTGCCAACAGATAGTCATATGTACAGATTCAGACAATGATCAAAAATCTTACTTAAGCTTCTTTTCTAAGAAAATCTTGCTAAAAAGGTAGAAGCAAGAAGATATTTGTCACATATAATCCTTATCTTTTTCCTTGGAGAAGGTAACCTTTCCAGATTGCTCCACCTTACTTTCTTTCTTGACTAGATTGCGACCACTGATTCTATCCTTTTCTCCCTCTGAGACAAAAGTAGTATTTTAAACCAGTACCACTTAAGCTTGTGAAACTGCCTTATTTGCATTTCCTTTCTCACCTCACCCTTCCTCTTCACACCTTCCTACATTTCCTAGTGTACTCTCTGGGAACCCTTTTTCTGTCTAAACTCATCTGAGGCCATGTATTTTTGTTGTCGATTTATTATATCATGCTAATCTAAAAAATGGCTGTGTTCTGGTTTCTTTAGATTTTACCATAAAAGGGAACCTCACTGAAAAGAGCAGTGTAAGACCTTTCTTGGTGGTTCACATGACTATTCATTTCTTCCTGCTAATTACTGTTTTTTGAAATCTCTTTCATTATACTACAGCCACTTCTACTGGAGTGGCAACTACCCTTCAAACTGAAGTTACTTTTCTAGTGCCTAGGATATGCATGAGCTTATCCTTCCTGACTTTATGATCTCAACACCATGTGATACCTCATAGACCCTTTTATCTCTACCAATTGTTAAATATTTTAAAAGGAGCAACATATGGTTTGTTACATTGAGCTTGGAACCACAATAGAATCATTAAATCGAACAAACTCTTGTGCATCCAATAGCACTTTTTCTTTCGCTTGGGGCACAGAAATTAAAATGGCTTTGGAACACATGCACAAACAGTAATTTTATACTTAGCCTGCTGTCTCCCTTCCATCTATTTTTCTCAGTTGTGGTTTTCTCAAAACCAGTTCCATGAGTCTTGCTACAGAGCCCCTTGGAGTCTATTAATACTTATGCTGGCACACACAGAAAATATGTCTGCTGCTTCTTCAGGTCGCAGACAAAGGCCTGCCTAGTATGTTGCTGAGATTTCTTTTCCCTTCTTATTTTAGTTAAAGGGCAATTCAGTGGTTGCTCTGGTAGTCTCTAAATCCATATTGCTTGTTCGAGGTGATTTCAGTTAATGGGCTTTGACTCAGAGATCCCTCCTGTCCCCCTTTGGACAGATAAGTCCCAGAAACAACTTGACTTCACCAGACTTGTGCTTTGCCTGAGGGAGCAGTTTATATCAGGAAAGGAAATTTATATCAGCTTGAAATTTTTGGAATTGCTTTTGAAACAGAGTACATTCTTGAAACAGCAGGAAAAGCAGGGGAATGGGTTGACAGGGATAGGAAGTGGAGGGGATCGGTACAACCTCCTTCAAGTGCCTAGCACTACAGATTTACATGAAGATCTAGCTCTTCTTAGGGCACTGGAGCTTGGAGGAATGCTCAGAGCAGCTAAAAGAAACTTTAGTTGTGAGTTGTCCTTGGAGGGGGGTCTCTCCCTCTTAACCAATTAGTTGTGCAGAAATTGTGTGGAGGTTGTGGAAGGACTATATGGAGACAAACTACCTGATCTAGGATCTGACACATGATCATCCTCCTCCAGTATTCACTTTGCCAATGTAATTTTACACATAGAGAAGCCACTTGCCAGCACCTCTCTAGGAGTGATTCTGATGTATGCTTGCCAACTGGAGATACTTGTATTTCAGTGAAGTTACAGCTCCTGGTACAAAATGTGAAAACGTGTTATTCTCATGACCTGATATTGCAAACTTGTGACAATAGATTAATGTTAATGTTATTTATTTCACATGCATAATTGTAGGCACTGCCATCAACCTGCTATCTTCACTGTCGTTTGCAGTATACTGATTCAGCTATGCCAATTCTGCATGTATGTGGTTTGCTTGCTTTGTGCATTTTGCAAATGCAGTCCTGTGCATGACAAACAAAATGATATGTTTGAAGTTTTCTGAAATTGAGCCAGAGCTATTGCTTCTTCCCTCCAGGTTCTGAAATGTCTACTTTTCTTGGTACATATTCCTCCTTTCCTTTGGAAGGGTTGAGCAGATGAATGTGAAATGTGTCTGCAGAAGAATTTTTGTATTTCGTATGCAAATTCTGAGTTTTTCCTTTTCATAAAGTCAATGGCTTTATTCTGTCTCATTTTGATTAGCTGTAAGAAAAAAAATCCAAAGTTCTCAAAATTAGAATGTGTAACCTGTAGATATCAGAATCACTCCTGAATGCATTAGAAGACATATATGTTTGTCTAAGATATTCTCTTTGATAATCTTATGGACAGCTAATTATGATGTGTGATTCTTAGACAGTGTTGCAAACCAAAGCACATAAAGACCGGGCCTAAGGAAGATTTGATGCATAGAGAGAAAAAATCATCTGGCATCTCTGGAGAAGCCTCCTTGCCTGGAGCTTCCTTTGCTCCTCCTCTCATTAGTACTCTTTATCTCACTGGCCTAGAAAGTGTGAGTCTAGATATTGCTTTAGACCATATGGTGACACTGAGAGCTTTTTTTGCACAGCGGTAAGAAAAGCTACAGTTAAAAATGTCTTCTTAAAGATCAGTTAAAATAGTTTTGGTTCACACAACCTGATAGCACTGACAAAGAATATACATTTGTTAATCTAACAGTAATTTTAAATACTCAATAGGTTTTACAGCTTGTTGGAGTTGGAGGTATTTTGCAGAGCATGCCATTGGAAACTGAAGGGGAGATAAGGAGAGACTAGTGGGTGGAAGCTGTCTGATTTTGTTTTCTGGCAGGAAGAACACCAGAGGGAATTCTCTTTCCCAGCCTACTACCCCCCGTTCTTTCTTATTTACACATCAATGCATGATTTTTTGGTGTCTAACATTTCCATAATGCAATATGGTAAACTTAGCACATCTGTTTTGAAAACCTGCCTCATATTTAAGATTACTTTACTGTGTGCAATCTTGTATTTCACTTGCTAGTCATGTTATTTCTGGGTGTCAAGGTAGGGGATAGCTATAAATATAGAGGTAGGTTTCACAGTCACCAAGATTTATGCTGTGGTTTGCAATAACCTTCTCCACTTTGCCCTTTATCTGTCTTCTGTATTCCACAAGGCAAAGTTTAACATTATTGATATTTTTGGATAATACCTGGCACAACAAAGCAACTTTCCCATTTGCAATCAAGTAACAAGGGAACAAAACAAAACAAAACAAAGAAACAAACCTGAAGCTCCACATCTCCATGGAATATCACTAAAAATGCTTATGTAAAGCTGTGTTGCAGTCATCAGGGAGATGCAATGTCAATCCTGCGATTTTGGTGCCAGCAGAATAAAATCACAGCACGTTTTCCACTCTCTACCACTTGATGTGCAACCTGTCTTTCCAAATATGTAGCTTCATACTGGCACAAAAGATATCTTTGCCAGTATTCTTCTATTTTTCGTCATAAGTTCTTAGACATACACTAATCATGCTAATTTAATTAATCAAATTTGCTTTATTTTTATCCCTTTCTATTCCTTTTATGCTGAATTATTTCAACTGTTTAAAAATCACAGTTGACTCCCTTCAGCTGTTTTGTTTGGCAGAGTTTTCTTAATCAATTATGATTTTTAATTTTTAATAATTTAATTGGTGTTGTGGTAGGCAGGATAAACGTGGCATTTGTGATCTTTCTTTTATATACTATAAAGCAGACCAACAGTGTTTCTCAGTCACTGCGTTTAGTTTTTGCTTTCAGTTTCTTGTGCCTACCATTTATATTTCAGCTTCCCATTTACTGATGTTACAGATTGTTTTTTTTTTTTTTTACATAAAAATTCTTCAACTGTGTTATCCTGTTTTGGTTTTGGACTGGATGTCCAGGAACAATATGCCGTTATAGGGTCATCGGATCTCATCTATAGCATTCCTTCTGTGGTTGCAGCTTACTGTAAAAACATTCTGAGTTTTAAAAATTACTCATTTTTTTTTTATTCCTGCTACAAATCTTGAAGCATTACTCACTCATTTGATGGTTGTAAATCCACTTTTAC